GAACTTGGAGAACTTACTGATGAAGATGAAGGATTGCAGCCTTCTGTATGAATTACAACTCCTTGTCAAGACAAGGATCCTCACAACTGGACCAGTAGGGAACATCATGATACATGGAGAAATGATTGACCTTGTTAAGAATTGTGTCTTACTGGGATCCACAATCATTGCTTATGGCAGCAGCAGTCAAGAAACACGTTGCATGGAGTAAATCTGCTGCACAAGATCTCTACATTGTTGAAAAGCAAGGATGTTACTTGGAGGACTCGGGTGCACCAGACTCAAACCATGGTATTTTCAATCTCCTCATGCATGCAAAAGTTAGAAACTGAATAAGGAAGACTGAAGAAGAATTGGTGGACTTGAACTAAGGTGCTGATGAAGAATTTCGAAAGTACCATGTACTGCAAAAGAACAAACAAATCCGCCTGGGAAGAATTACAACTAGACTGCTCCTTAAAAGCACGGATGGCAAGACTTTGTTTTACATACATAGGATATGTTGTCAGGACAGACCAGGGAAGGACATCATGTTCGGTAAAGTAGAGGGGCATTGAAAATGAGGAAGGTTCTCTACTGGATGGATGACACAGTGGCTGCAGTGATGGGCTCAAACATAAGAATGATTGCGAGGATGGCACAGTACTGGGCAATGCTGTACCGTATATACTTGAGTATAAGCTGAGTTTTCCAGCACATTTTTAATGCAGTTTTTGTGATAAAATTAGGTGCCTTGGTGGATAGTTAGGTCGGCTTATACTCGAGTGTATATGGTATTCTGTTGTACATGGGTCATTATGAGATGGAACTGACTTGATGGCACCTAACAACAAAAAACGGGGTTCCAATAACATTTATGTTTTCTTTTGGAATATCAATTATTTGAATATATAGAAATGTGTCTCAGCAGACCTAGCTATCATGGAAACATCTTAATAAGAAACAAAAAGGAAAAGAAGATCGTGGAGTAATTTCCTCTTTGTTTTCCGCTTTCTTCTACTTATTCAGCAAGATGATAATTGAAACCATTTGGGCTGGTCTTTGTCCCAAGTATATATGCAAATATGCCTTCTAATAGTATACATTGCATTTGTTGTTTCAATCTGTTTGTCAGCAGGAGAGCTAGTTTGATGAAACATAACAAAATGTCAGCTCCACTGAGGTTGACAAAAAATTCAAAGTTTGAATTTTAAAATTGCACTGCGTGTGTTTTAGTTACAAGATTTTATTTTTAATATTGATAAACAAGATACAATATTGCTTTTTAATCTTTTATTTCTTGGAGAATTATTTATTTTAACTTGTTAAGAATTTTTTTAAACCTATCCAGAAATTATTACTGACAAAAATTGAAATGATCATTCTTCTAGAGGCGAAAGGCAAATAACTTTTCCTTGCTCTCCATGGCCTCGGGTGAATAGATGTGGAAAGGGTGAAACCTGGGTTGCCCCAATGCTTCACCCTTTTTGGGTGCTTATGAGCTATTTCCTAAACGACTCTCCCTAGTTCTAGTCATCCAGAGAATCGGGGCCCAGGGGCAGTAAATCCAGACAGCAGCTCTCTCTTTGGCCCCGTTATTGTTTTGAAGCCTTAATAAAACCATTAAGGCTACTTGAGTCAATGACCCATATGGTTCTGTGTCTGAGACTTCAGCCCTGATGGGCTTTAGTAGCTTTACTGCATCTCTGCCCAGGTTAGTAATCTCTTGTCAAATTTATGTTTCACTTCATAGTTACATTTAAGTATTCTTTAATTGAATGGGAATAATTGAAAAATATTTAGGACATTTGATTTTTAAAGTAAACATTTCAAAACTTGCATTTGTTTAAATTTAACATGTATAGGTAGTTGGGCAGTGAGACAGGATATTAGAGTGATCTGGTGTTTAGTTTTCATTGTTGTACTTCATAGTTATTGAAATTGATAGTGCTGTATTTGAATATTAATCCCTTTTATATTGTAATTGCCAATTGTGAAATAATGTATTAAATTTTTACTTAGACTAAGTGTTAATGATCTAATAGAACTAATAATACAGTTTTGGGAAATAACTTCCATTTTGAAAATGACTTCCAAGAATTTTTTGTAAACATGTGCGGGACTTCAAAAAGTTCATGGAAAGATGGAGTTAAAAGATGATAGAATTTTTTTTTTACGAGCGCTGTGAAATCCCCCTTGATGTATGAAAAGAAATAACTGGTGAAATATTTTTCCAGACTTTAAAAATTACTTTTCTAAAAGATTACATAGATTCCTACATTGAGCTAAAAGTAACTTTATTCCCCCTCCACAATACATGTATAGTCACCTAACAAATGCATTCCAGAAAAGATTATTGAGTGTTGTAGAAAAACCAGAAGAATACTTTTATTATGTAATACATTTAGCACAGTATAGATGAGGATTTGGAAAGCATTTTCTGCTTCATTTGAAAAGAGGGTCATGGTATAATAAAAGACTGGAGTGATATTACACTTCTGAATTGAACATATTTAACCAAACAGTTATCTGCACCACTGAGAATATGTCAGCTATACCATAGTGCTTGCTCTTCTCAGGGTCAGTCTGTTTTATATGCTGGCTCCATATTTATTGAACCGTTAGTTCTACAATAGCTCTAAAACTCATAGGGTAACAGAGATTTAGTGTAATTTAAAACTTAATCATTACTGATCCAGATTATTGCAGAAGCCTAATTGATATTTCTCATTCTAGTCAATCCAGTTTGCTGATCTTGTTAGTTTTTGCCTTCATATGGTTTTTATCCTCAGCATGGGCCTATCAGCAAAACCTCATTTTGCCTAGTGATTGGAGGGAGGGGAGAGAATTGGTCTAGATGTTCCCCTTCTCCAACTTATCACATTCTAGTACATGTATATTCCAGATCAATCTTTATGAAATACCATTTAATTGCTGTAGCATTTAGTAGATGTGACCAAGATAGGATTTTTGCTTGTAAAGAAATTACACTCTAATAAATTGTTATATAATAGATATTTGTGAGAAATGGCCCCAGATGACCGTGAAGATTTTGTGATACTATGTATTTCTTTCAGGGCAGGTTGAGGTCCATATTAATTCCTCAAAAAAAACTTTTCCTGTCTTTATTTGAAAAAAAAAAAAAAAGAAGATCTTTTGCTTTTAAGTCTATAATCTCAAGTAGCCCAACCTTCATGCACACTTGTTAATATATTTCTTGCCCTTGTTCTGCTTCAGAGTTCTTTATAATGGCATTCATTGTATGGAGATTGCTGAGCTTCTATCACAAACCACCCAGAAAATAGGATAGTACATTCAAGTGAGAGGAAATATGAAAGAAGAAAGGCAAAATGTAACCTTCATATTACGATAGTCTAGGCCAGTGTTTCCCAAAGTGGGTGATACCAGGACAGGGATGCTGGAATGATTTAGCCGGGCTGCAAATGCAGATGCCTACACTTTATCCTGGATTGCAGGCTATAGTACAAACATTTTTAATTGCCAGGGGTACACTAATTGTTTTTTCTGAAAAGCGGGCAGTAGTTCAAAAAGGGAGATGGATTGGCACAGCGGCTGCAACAATGAGCCCTCCAGCACAGGAGTAATTATGAGGATGGCGCAGGACGTGGCAGTGTTTTGTGTTGTTAGGTGCATAGTCCCTATGGGTCAGAACTGCCTTGGTGACACTTAACGACAGGCCAGATAGGTTTGGGAATCTAGTGTAGAACTTAACTCGATTTGTATAGTTTAGGGCTTTAAAATATTCTTTGATAAAACTTTATTTGAGGTAGGCTTGGTAACATTTTAAGAGTCATTTTTAGTTCTTTTCCTCCTCTTTCTAAAATTAGTAGATTATTTGCTTAATGAATTGTAGGAACTGCCTTCAGTATAATGCCAAATAAATAAATTGGCACATTGGTTTATAAAATTTTAAAGTCACTGTGTTAAAGTCACATCCCCTTTGTGATGTGAGGGGATTATCTCCTTGTCTACAGATGGGCTTTGGGTCTCCACTCCGACCCCCCTGTTTGCATCGGTGTGATTGTTTTAGGTCTTCTGATGCCTCATATCTGATGATGCCTGATAGCTGGTGAACACCTCATGATCACACAGGCTGGTGTGCTTCTTCCGTGTGGGCTTTGTTGCTTCCCTGCTAGATGACCGCTTGTTTAACTTCAAGCTTTTAAGACAGTGGTTCTCAACCTTCATAATGCCACGATCCTTTAATACAGTTCATCATGTTGTGGTGACTCCCCAACCATAAATTTATTTTCGTTGTTGCTTCATAACTGTAGTTTTGCTACTGTTATGAATCAGGTGGCTCCTGTGAAAGGGTCGTTGACCCCCAAAGGGGTCACAACTCACAGGTTGAAAACCACTGTTTTAAGACCTCAGATGCTATAGCTTTTAATAGCTGGGCACCATCAGCTTTTGCACCCATTTTGTCTTTAGCAATTGTGTTAGGAAGGTAAGCATCACGGATTCCAGGTTATTATAACAAAGTGTTCTTGCGTGGAGGGAGTACCTGAGTAGAGGCCCAATGTCCATCTCCTTCCTTAATACTTAACATATAAATTTATGTACATAGGCTTATATCCTTATTTTGCAGTTTTTAATAAGACTTCCTCCTATCCTGATGCTGAATTCTTTGGATACCCTTAATTTATACAAAACATTTGATGGAACTATATTTTAAATATGTATGCTAATATGCTTAACTTTCATTGACATCCGTGTGACCCTCATAATGGTACAGAATTATGAGAAAGGCAATTTTAAATGTAAATGTATGAGGTCAATAGATTCAGTGTCAGCATAGGAGGGAACTTTAAAAGGTTTGTGGGAAAATGGACTTAAAAGATAATGGAAATTTTCCACAAACACCTTAAGACCTTCTCATATATTTTAATTATCTCATATTTTTCCTAAGTTGTAATTTTCAAAAGGTATAAAAAGTTTACCATGATTTTCCCCAAATCCAAATTTATCCCTTGTTAACTTGTTTATTTGTCTTTATACAGGGTGTGATAGGTATACAGCTGGTCCTTACCATGGTGATGGCCAGTGTCATGCAGAAGATTATACCTCACTACTCTCTCGCTAGATGGTTACTCTGCAATGGCAGGTAAGGCAGATATAGGCTGTTGTGATTGGAATTTTCCAATCTCTATCCTAGTTTACCAGGTTGATTAACTTCATAGAAGTAAAGTACTAATTCCTGTTTCTATAAGTAGAACAAACCATGTTAATGAGAAAAATTTAGCTTCCTTAATTCTCTTACATGAGAATGTACTTGCATTTATATCTTTTTTGCACGAAGCTAATAGGGTAAGGAATTCAGTTTTCCATTTCTTCCAGCTTTGTTTTTTCCATGGCCACCCAAAAGACTGTATATTTTCCAGATATTTTAAAGCAAATTGTTCTGTAAGGTGGTGGCTTGAGATTAGAAATTAGGGTGCCTAAATATTTTCACTATTATTGGAAAAATGACTCAAAACATGTTCCATATTGACTCATTGAAAGATTAATATTTAAGCTGAAAGTTCTTTGTTTTACTCTGAAGTGGCTGTGAGTTAGGCTGCTAACCACAAGGTCAGCCAGCAGTTTGAAATCACCAGCCACCTCAAGAGAAAGAGGTAGAAGCTTTCTACTCCTGTAAAGAGTTATAGTTATGGGAAACTCACAGGGGCAGTTTTACCCTTCTCTACAGGACTGCTATGAGTCAGAATTGACTCTTTGACCATCAGTTTTGAATATGCCATATTTAGCTGATGTGCTACTAATTTAAGTTAATAATAAAACAATTGTTAATAATGAGTTAATAATAACTTAATGTTAATAAATTAATAATACATTAATAATAAACTAATTTAAGTTAATAATAAAATGAGGCTCGTAAACTAAATTGGAGGCATAGTATCCAAGTATCTGTCTTCCCAAGTATACTTTTTCATGCCATTTGAGATTATATTCACCTAATTAATAATGCTCTGTATTCCATGTTTTCAGATTTTTTTTTCTAGAAAACATTTTCTTCTAGGAAGATTTATTTTCTTACCTTACATTTCTTTATGACTCAGAATTGGTTTAAGGGATTCCTGCATTGATAGGAAATTGTCTCTCCCCTCATAATCCATGAACACGTATTATTAAACTAGGAAAACTCAAGTACAAACACCCTTAATGCTCTCAAACTGCTCCATTTCTTCTGCTTTACAAAGGAAGCACCTGAAAAGTTGTTTTATCTGGACCTTTATTGTGGATTACTTTCTCTAACATGAATTCTTGTTCTAACCTTGCTTTGGATCACCTAAAAATACTAGTTCTTTATTAAGTCCAGGAAACCATTGATTGTAGCCAAAGCAATCCCTGCTTTCTGTTGTAATTAAAATTCCATTTTGTTTTGAAGTTTGCTTTGCCCACCTTCTTAGGTAAAAAGTGATAGGTTGCCTTCTTTGTACTTTTGCATAGTGAGTTGCATGAGGAGGAGGATGTTGCTTTTTCTCTATGAGGAGCTTCCTTGTTGAACCTGCCTTTCATTTCCTGATTGTTCAGCTCAAGCCCCTTGCAGTTTTGTCCCTAAACTCCTTACTTTCCTTCCGATGTCTCTCAATGAAAACCATTTGTGGTCAGTTTTATTCTGTTTCATCTTAATCCATAATGGGCAACGTGGGTGACTTTTAATACTCTTAAAATTTCTAACACATAACTTTCTTATTCGATTTCCCTGATTTGTTTTGCCAGTTTTCTTTCGCATGTTGCCTTATTCAAGATTCTGCAGCTCTCCTGGGGTCAGAGAAACCTATGCATATACAGAGTAGCTCAGCCCTTCCACGTAGGAGGAAAATCTTCAGTTGTGATCCCTTTGAATCCCCTAGTCCCTGCTCTCCTTGCCTTCGCTACCCTGAATTCCAGAATGTTCGTGATACTTTTAAAATTTCTACCATATTGCAAGAGAATGTGTGTATGTATACAGCAAATGATTTGTTAGCTGCTTGAGCTGAAGAGGCTTTCTGGGATTTAAAGTAGTGTCTTTTTCCTTTATTATATTTCTTGAGTTGTCAGAATTTGGAAGATTTAGAATGGAGACCAACAGAGTTTACTGTCTTACATGAGTATCTTATCTTTGCTTACTCTGTCAGTGCTAAACCTCTCTGTACTTGTTCATGTTCAGATTTCCATTTTAAATTTCTGAAAATATTTTAAATGTATATGCCTTAAATGACCTTCCTTCTTAAATTAAATAATAAAATCTAGGTTAGTACATTCTATGTTTTTTGATACATTTATTTCCAGTGCTGTTGAATTACTTTAGTAAGAATGATAATTGGAATTACTTAATGTAAACATTATGCAAGAAAATTACTGAAAAGTTATTTTTAATAATTTAGAGGCCTACAACAGTAGATTGGCAGTCAACACTGCTGAGTAGTCAAGGTAAATGTTATAAAATTCACTCAATACATTTCATGTAAATGCAAGAGCTTTAATGTTTTAATTGTGTTAATATTTTGTTTTACAGTTTATTTTTCCACTGAAACAATATGTGCCTATGTTTTAGCAAAAGATGATTAAGTTGATTAAAAGGAAAAATAAAGTGCTAGGATATGTACCCATCCCTCATACAAAATCTAGATTTTACTATTACCTTTTAAGCTTTTCTACTCAGATTTTCTCCACAGGATTCTGATTATATTGTATGTACAATTTTACAGCATGCTCCTTTTTGCTTAACATGGTAACATTTTTGTAACCCTTATTGTTATTGCTATGTAAATTCTAAATCTAATAGATTTATTTGCCTATATTAGAAAGTATACATAACATATTGTTGTAAGGAAGCAGTCATTTTATTGAGATAGACATACCAGCTAATAAAAGAGTGAGGAAAATTATAGCAGATAGGAACAAGTTGGTGTTGAGTCAAACTGTATGAAGCACTGATATATTATAACTGTACTAGATTTTTTTCCCTTTGAATTCATGATCTCACACCTGATATCATAGGCTTCCAAAGTTATTTGACCTACTACCCCCTTCTTGGGGCGAGGAGAGAGGTTGTTCATTGTCCCCTGGCAATTAAAAACTTTTGTACTACTTTGTCCATAATGTGGGATAAAATGTGGGTGTCTGCCTTTGCAGTCTCCCTGGACCTACCCCCAGCACCGCAAAAGATATTGCCCACTTTGGGAAATATT